TATTTGCTACAATTCAATTGTTACAGATAGAGAAGATCCGTAGTGGAACGTTTTGTTCATAAGCCGAAATTTTGGACAACTACAACAGCCGTTACGCCAGCCTGCTAAAAGAAGTAAACCCTGGCTGCTTCAGAAGCATCATATCGTTCGATACATCCATCCAGATTCCTGTGAAGAAGGGCGCAAAGCAACGGCACACTATCTCCGACAAAATCATCACTGACTGTTTAGAAATGGTATTCCGAACGATGAACTTGAACAGTGGGATTAACATTCATAGTGAAGCGCTCAGCTACCTAAAGTTCTCTGATCAAGTGGTGTTGTTCTGCGAAAAACGTCAGTCAGCTGCAAAACATGCTGGAACAGCTCGGAAAAAACAACGCAGAAGAAATAGGTGAATTAATCGGTCAATGACGAAGGTACCACAAGCAGATGCCCTACAGAAGTCACAGGTAAAATTCAAACGTGATGAGATTGAAGAAGTTGATAAAGACATTCGATATCATCAGTGTGGAGAGCGTTTCATTCCATTAAGGAAGTCCTCCTACGCAACACCGGGAAAGAAACTCCCGTCCACCTATCCAATTCTCCCTTCCTCAGGGCAATGTTGCACGATTATGAGACGCACTAAAGCCGAAGAATACCAGGTACCTGTTCCTGTCATCGAGAAAGCCATGGAAGAAATGCATGGGATTTCTCGTTGCGACGACATCCTCAACATGGTGACCAGAAAGTGGACCGGAGTGAAAGACGTTGTGGTTGAGAGCAGAAGGCTAAAGTGGACCGGAAAGGCAGCTCGGCTCACCGACGGGAGAGTCGATGATCGGCGATGACCGTCGACTGGTATCCGTGCGGACTGACAAGGCCATTTGGTCGCGTACATCGACGAAGGTAAGATTATATGAGGAGCCAGGAAGACCGTCCTCGGAGTAAGAAAGCTCGAAACAGCGAAGAATTTCGGACATGTTTCGACCGACATGATCCGTCGACAATGACCAGCCGGTCACTTGATTCAACTGACAACGGCCATACCGCTTATCATCAGGGCATCCAATCAGAACAAGTAGAAATGAAGCGCAACAGTGCAACCAGTCCAGTTTAAAATAGTAAGTCGCGGTTATTTTAAAAAGCGTAGTTTAAAACAATGATAGTTGAACATAAATATTACAAACGGTCAGGATGGCACAATCGCCGCCTAAAGTGGGCAATTATGAAAATCAAGTCTTGGAAACGTTATAATAATCAACTTGATGCAGTCATGACGTATCGGCATTAAAACATTCGCATGTAGTGATTCGTTAAATAATCATTTATATCAGTCATGATCTGGGCGGTTAATCAATAATATGTATATACAACCTAATCGTAGGGATTCCTGAATACTCTCCCATTATAAACCGCATTGCATGATAAAGTTAAAGTGAGTATGGTACGAACTTCAGAAACCGATTCTTCTTGTTCTCATTCAGTTGCATTGAAGACGATTCCGCGTGCCGTACAAGCCTTTCAGCTGAATTGAATAAATGCGTGATCCCTCCAGTTCTTTCCATGTCATGTTAGTTCGAAAGAGATCTTGCCATTTTGTTGGAAGCCTTCCTGACGGCAGCCAGCCATCAGGCTTCGCGTTCAGTACTCGCTTCGTAAAGCGAGTTTCGTCCATTCGTTGGTCCAACCATTTCAAACGCCTTGCTTGCAGCCAGTTGGTCACTTTAGCTGAATATTCTAATCTCTCTTTGACAATGCATTTGACACCACGTCCAACCATTTCGCTCCTAATACCGATATCAAAATATTCACTTCCGTCGTTTCAGCTTTGTTAAGTGCTGCCTTCTCTAAGCCAGAGAGCAACATGTTCAAAATACAAATCCTGTATACCGGCAGCTTGATGCTACTGCCAACATCTTTGTCAGTGCACAGCTTAAATGACGTGCTGCTGGCTGCTAATTCCATCGAACAGCGTTTCTTAACTTTGTTTGCCACTCGTCCGGCCTGCATCCAACATACTGTCACAATGCAAACGTTCTTACGATTTCCACGGCTTCTTAGGTGTCAAGGATCAGACAGGGTTTTGTTTGGGCTCACGAATATCCATCGACTTCGTGTTCTTTAAGTTACTTGAGATCCAGATCACAGCTTCGAAGCTGTCTGCATGTAATACGATATTATCCCTCATCCTCAAATGTACGAGACTTACGCAGACGTCGTCCAAATCGTCCTTGACACCGTAGGTTCACTCCTTCAGATTGGCTGAAACCCTCACTCAAGAAACATAGCAAACGACTGTAGAGATTTTACTCAGCCTTGCCCTTTCCAAACTTCGTACAAAAGTATTCGCCAAACCTGTTATGAATTTGCACTGCATTTGACGAAAAATCATACATCATTATAATTATGTGATTAATCTTTTCGCAAGACATTTCTCATGACTGATCCAGACACTTTCGAATATTGGAAAGAATTTGAATACCCAGTTTTTCTTCTTTTCTATTGGCTGCTTCATCGTAAACATATGGTCGAAGCATTCTGCGCCTAACTTGAATGCAAGATGCTCATCACGCAAGATTTCTCAAGATGTTGTTTAATCCAGTTCACCACGGCTCGCACCAATACTTTAGCAGGAACCAATGAGAGGTTGATTCCAGAGCAGTTATTTAATTTGAGCAACAGCGTCTAAAAATTGGAACCACAATCTCTTTCGTCCTTTTATTTTGGATCTTCTGTTTCTGACGTATCAATACAAAGATATTCACTAATGCCTGCACTCCGTTCATTCTATATTCCCCAATTAGCTCTGGCTATCTTTCATCCAGTCGTTCAGCTCTGCGACTTTTTAATTGACTCAAGACTTCGGTCACTTCTTCAACGATTAGCGGTCAAGTATCAAGATCCATCTTTTGTCCACGTATAATATTATAGAGCGAGTTCTCTTTCACAATCAGATTAGGGTTTAATAATGATGTAAAGTGTTTTCAGCATATTTGAATGACTTCATAAGATCGTGGGTGATGCTCTCCATTTTCATAACGGATTTTATTTGATGCTTCATTTTGTTGAATCAGCAATGAACTTTACTGAGCAACGTCCTCATATCGTTTTCCTGAGCTATCTCTTTCACTGTTTTAACTTGCCTATATTAAACAAGTGCTTTATCATTCCTAAACGATCTTTCAATTTCGTTTTATACTCTTCTTCCGAAGCTTTGTATTTTATCGGTCTTGACAAGTCTGCTCTTTTTTTGTGACCTTTTCTTGTTACAAATACATCCACATCTTTTGTCATCCTTTTTTCCCTCCCAATTGCTCTTCGACCATTCTTACTACTGCCTTTTGAATACTACTGCTTCACTGCTTTTCCACCGATACATCTCTGTATAATCAATAAGAAGTCTGAATTTTTACTGATCGTGATCTGAAATGCTTGGGATACTTCTGGACATTTCAGCCTGTTGGGGTAGATTTCTGGCTGGATATTTAAAACTGCAGCTTCACTTGAATTTTAGCCATCGCTAGTTCATGAGCGTTACAGCATTCAGCACTTTGATACGCCTTGACGTGCTTGCTCGGTGACTTCTGACGATGACAACATTGCATATCTGGTTTCTTGATAGCATCAACGGAGTGCCAATGACTCTTTGCACTTACTTGTGATGGAACCATGTGCCGCCAACAAGCAGATTGTGCTTCTCACACATACATCTGTTCTTTTCCCCATTTTTCCCTGAAATCACCAGAACAAACAAGATACCACAGATTAGACTCCGTTGCAGCAGCAGACTCAGTGCTGCGCACAATTCTTCCTTTACTACCTCTTTCTTCACAGCTTCGATGGAGGCATACTAACCAACTACCATAAGAATAAATCTGTTGTACCTGGACTAGAGCTTTGTCATGATCACTCATGGTGAGATACCACGTTCCAGTGTACAAGGGCTTCTTCTGCGCTTCTACTGGCTACCGGTGCAACTTACCTGTGTGACCAGCGGCTAATGTTATATTCTTTGTAAAATAGAAGCTACAGTTACCAGCGGTCACAGTACTTTTCCCAAGCTAGTGCATCTCCTGTATTACAACGATTCAGTTCTTTTACAACCAGTATGGGCTATGGCTATCCAGGTCTGTTTAGCATTCGCATATTCCGTGTGGTAAATTGTGTCCGACATTTAGCACTGGAAGGTATTTTTCTCAGTTCTGAAGTTTTTCGAGATTATTACACATAGTCATTTTCCGGATGCGCTACCATACGATAAATTTTATACGGTTTCAGTCAACAGACATAAGTCCGTGAGCGGATGATTGGCCATCAGCTTCACCGAGGCGTCGTTACTCAACCGTTTCAGGGTTCATCCTTTCATGACAGCCGTAGCGGCAGGGCAAAATACCAAAATGCACTCCACCGTACTTCGCGTTGTCAAACGTTCTCCCACATTAAACGTTGTCTTGTCTTCATGACTCGAAAGGGCCAGTGATTATTTCATGTGCCACATTATTTGTTTCTTGACAAGATCGAAACTAAAATTTCACACATTTGCTGAAATGAAATATGCAATGTTTTAGAAAACGACTTCCCGCAATATGTCATGGATAAATGGAATAGTCACGGTGAATACAAATTCGATCTAATGCAAGGAACTTTGCAGAGGATCAGAAAACAGATTCACCATCCATCGTTATTAATCAGTTTAATTAATGAATCGCCACTTATTTCAGCTCTTCAAACACAGAACATAACGGCAGTATCAACTCGTCTGATGCACCCAGTCATGAAGTAAAATTCAGCATCTGTTTACTAACAGTGTCATTTTGAGAGGTGTTGACTACGTGACCTAGACTCTTCATCATCAGCCATTTCCGATCCACTGCTGGATGAAATCCATTCCAAGACGTTACCATAAACTTTTGTTTTTGTGATACTTATCGATCTGAATGCAACGAACTTCATCTCATCCTGTCAACGATCTGAAGGAAATCAACGGGTTGTTTACTCTCTGGGAACACAGTCTAGCGTCTGTCCGGCCAAGTGATGATATGTTCTTCTCGTAACATGTTCCTGCACTGCCAGACCCTCTCACTACAAACCTCTGCTCTTAAAGCATAGGATTTTTAAATTTATTTCTAGGACTGAACTCCCTGACACAAGATCTATTTTCCGTTCAGCTTTTGCCAGGATGAAAGTTGATGCCCGAAACAGCAGCATTTGACTTTCAACTTTCTTTTGGCGTCAGATCCTTTTTCTAAAGGACTCGTTCAGAAAACCGCAGTTTTCACTGTGTTAAGCAAAACAGAAAGTGTAGCAAAAGTATAGAATACCGATATAGAATTAAAAACCAGATTTATTATTAGCATAGAATATTCTTGACTTATTTTAAACTCGTGTATTAAATGATGACTAAATTATACGTGCAAGAGAGTCAAATACTGAATATGAAGTGGTTTGTTTCCAAGTGTACTGTTATTTTCCAAAATAGTCAAATCATTTATGCATTTGCTGACCTCCTAAACCATGCGCTGCTGCAAGTCACACAGACGATTTTATTGGTAAACTAACCTCGTCTAACTAACTCAAACCAG